ATACTGCTTTTATTTTCATTCAACTTGTATTTGTTCCTGTTAAGGTGTTTGCTGGTTTGTAGCTATGGTGTTTGTTGTTATGCTTCTTAGGGAAGCTGAGCTTAATTAGGAACTGCTGGCTTTTATGTTTTTGACGTCAAGTGTGGTGTTTATAAATGCTTTCTAGTTGTACTATTGTCTAAAAAATATATTAATGTATATATATATATATATATGAAACTGTTTTTCATTCATCTTGCATTTGTTCCTGTTAAGGTGTTCATGTCACCTCATTTATGCAAAAACCTTGAATTATGTAGATTTGGAAGATTGATAATTAGCTTCAGAAAACCTGAAACTGATTTTTTCCTATTATTATCACCTCATTTATGCAAAAACCTTGAATTATGTAGATTTTGAAGATTGATAATTAGCTTCAGAAAACCTGAAACTGATTTTTTCCTATTATTATTTTGTGTCACATCCTTCTCTAAATAAACATTACGTTCACAATTGGGTTACATAAATCTGGTAAGAAATTTTTGTTTTGTCATCTTGTCGAATTTATATACAAGTGGGATGCTTTCGTCTCTAAAACCTTTCAATAATCAATATAGGTCCATTTACTTTTCTTCTCGTTTTTTCAAATATACCTTAAAATTCTTAATAATTGATTGTGATAGGTGAAGGATAGTCTAAGGAACGACCCCAGATACAAATCTATTAAGCACGAGATAGGGAGATTTTGTTTAATGAATATATATCTGAACTAAAGTCTGCTGAAGTGGAAGTGGAAAGTGCAGCAAAGGCCAAACATGAGGAGCAGGTAACAAGAGTAGTTCCCTTTTTGCTCTTTGAAACTTTGTGTTTTCCTTGCTCTTCGTCTTTTTGTTATTGTTGATTATTGGATGTGATTATGATGTTTTACGCAGAGTGTGTTTAAATTGAACTATTTATGTAGCTGCCAACATTTCTTAAGGGTAATAATTTTCTTTCAAGTTCTTGCTGAATTTCTGTTGGTCTCTCTCTCTTTCTCTCTCCCTACACACACGCACACACATATGGTTCTTTGTCGTTGTTTCATGTTTGGGAATGGTTTGAATTTTTTTTTTTTTTTTTTGAGATACTTTCACTTTTTAGGTTTGTTACATGTTCCTTATTTTTGTTACTATTGGTGCTTAGGCTAATTGAAAACTTCTGCTGCCATAGGAATACTGGGGTAAATAACTGCAGTTTTGTAAGAATCTTTTAAGATTTTAAAGGTGTTCACTATGTTGCAAGTTGTTCTTACGGTCGAACATTTTTATTAGATTTGATTGCAAACAATAGTCGAGGGAAGTACAAATGATGGATAAGAGTTGGATTGATTTGCCAAATAGGATGTCGAGGGAATACATTAATGGGATTGATCAATTCCTTGTGTTTGCCTACACCAATAGGGTTGAAGGTTCGATGATTAGTTGTCCGTGTAGAAAATGTGAGAATCGATACCATCTTGTGCGAGAGGGTGTACGGAAGTATCTGATTTTGAATGATTTTTTAAAAAAGTACAAACATTGGATTAATCATAGGGAATCTTACGTATCTCTACATGGTAATCGAGAGAATGAAACATTGGCTAATTTAGACATTGGGGACGATATGGTTGGAATGATACAAGGGGCTATGGGAAATCCACATGCCGGTACAAGTGTTGAGGGTAATGAACCACCGGGGCCTAATCTCTATGCATCTGAACCCCAGCTCGGTCCAAATGCAGAGATTGCAAAGTATTTCAAACTTCTTCAAGATGCACAAAGTGAATTGTATCCAGGTTGTCAGAAGTTCACATCTTTGTCATTCATTGTTCGATTTCTACATTTGAAGGTGCTTAATTAGTGGACAGACAAGTCTGTTGACATGTTGCTTGAGTTATTGAATGAGGCATTCCCGTTGGGTGTGAAACTCCCGGACTCATATTATAAAGCTCAAAAGGTCACAACAGATTTGGGCTTTACGTATGAGACGTGGGATGCATGTCCCAATAGTTGCATGTTGTTTCGAAACGAGGACACCAATCTTGATAAATGTGTCATATGAAACAGTTCAAGATGAAAATCAAATGGTGATGGTGGTTCAAATGGTCCTCACAACGGTGGCAAACGAATAGCTGCAAAACAAATGAGGTACTTTCCTTTAAAGCCAAGGTTGCAGAGGTTGTTTATGTCATCCAAGACGGCTAAGTTAATGAGATAGCATGCAGAGGAACAAACTAATGACGGTGTCTTTAGGCATCCTGCAGACTCCCTTGCATGGAAAGATTTTGATCGTTGGAATATTGACTTTAGTAATGATTGTCGAAGTGTAAGGCTTGGCTTAGCATCTGATGGTTTTAACCCATTCAGGACGATAAACATAGTTCATAGCACTTGGTTTGTCGTATTCATTCCATACAACTTGCCGCCATGGATGCGCATGAAACAACCATTTCTAATTTTATCTATGCTTATTGATGGCCCGAAGGGACCTGGTGACAAGATTGATGTGTATATGCAACCGTTGATTGAGGAGTTGAAAGAACTATGGAATGATGGTGTCTCCACATTTGATGCATCAACAAATCAAATGTTTCAAATGCATGCAGCTTTACTGTGGACAATTAGTGATTTTCCTGCATATGCAAACTTGTTAGGATGGAGCATTAAAGGCGAATATGTATGTCCTTGTTGCAATAGGGAAACTACATCGTGTTGGTTGAAGCATAGTAAGAAACAATCATACTTGGGTCATCGCAGATTTTTACCTAGTAGCCATAAATTCCGAAAGGATAAAGTATCATTTAATGGTAGTCGGGAAGTCAGATTCAAACCAAAATTGTTGTCTGGAACTGAGATGCTGCTACAATTAGAATCTGAGGGTATTTTAACCCAATACAAGAGGGATGACCTTAAGGAGAGGCATAGGAGACAAGTAGAGAAGGAGAAAACTGGACATCGCACCCATAGTTGGAAGAAAAAGAGTATCTTCTATGAACTGCCATATTGGGAGCACAATCTAATTAGACATAACCTCGATGTGATGCATATAGAGAAGAATGTTTGTGACAATGTGTTGTGGACAATATTAGGGGTTGCAGGAAAATCGAAGGATGGTGTTAATGCTCGGCGTGATTTACAAGAAATGAATATTAGAAAACCCCTACATTTGCAGTTAAGAGGGTCGAATAAAGCTTATTTACCACCGGCACAATTCACGATGACCAAGGATGAGAAAGATTTGTTCTTGAAAGTATTGAGGAAGTTAGAGTTCCCGACAGGTATTCATTCAATATATCGCGTCGCGTGCGCTTACATGATAGAAGTATTGGGGGTCTTAAGAGCCACGATAGTCATATTCTGATGCAACAACTAATTCCATTGGCCATTCGAAGATCGTTACCGAAGAATGTAATTGAACCTTTGATTGAATTGAGCAATTTCTTTAGACAATTGTGTTCCAAAGTGAATCGTGCGACGGATTTGCAATATATTCAAGATCGTATCGCCGTAACACTTTGTCATCTAGAGAAAATATTTCCTCCTACTTTTTTTGATATAATGGAGCACTTGCCTATACATCTAGCTGACGAAGCATTATTGGGTGGAGCGATTCAGTTTTGATGGATGTATCCAATTAGGAGGTATCTTCTTACTTTGAAGCAATATGTGCGTAATAGAGCTCATCCAGAAGGTTCAATTGCTAAAGGATATCTTATGGAAGAATGCATGAATTTTTGTGCACAACATCTCAATGATGTGAAAACTAAATCTAATTGACCCGTGAGGAACTACAGTGGCGATGATAATCTGGGTCGTGCTGTTGATGAAATCACAAGCTTTTATCTTGATAACACTTCTTGGTCACAAACTCATCGGTATGTCTTATTCAATACATCCGCGGTTCAACCATTCATAAAGTAAGTTATGTCACTCACTCAATATTTTATTATGTTTCATTGAATTTTGAACCAAATTTTGTTTTTTGATAAAATTTTAATCTACACAGCAAACACCTTGAAGAACTTAAGGTCAAAATGCCTCGTGTTGACGATCATCAGCTTCGGCGTGAACATTTTGAAACTTTTCACATTTGGTTCAAGGAACATGTATGTTTTTAAATCTACAGATTCTATTTACCTAAGTTGAACTACATTTTAAAATTTAAAATTTTTATTTTTTAAAATAGGTTCAAACTTTGTGAAGGACTAGTGATGTCACATTTTCTGAAGAGATTATTGTATTGGCAAATGGTCCTCATAACTTGGCAAGGAGGTTCAACGGGTATATAATGAATGGGTTTCGGTATCGAGTAAAGGCCATGGATGACCATCGAGCCACACAAAATTGTGGTGTAGCTTTGAAGGCAAATACCATAAGTTATGCTAGTCGGAAAGATAAGAATCCTCGTGTGGGGTCTGTGTACTATTGTGGACAATTGATAGATATTGTTGAGATTCGATATTCCAATGAAAAGAAGCATGTGTTGTTTAAGTGTGATTGGATTGACAACATTCACGGGAAGATACAAGATGTCTTCAATTTCACGTTAGTCAACTTCAATCATTTGTTGTACTGAGATGATCGAATTACCAATGAACCTTTCATCTTGGCATCCCAAGCAGAGCAAGTTTGGTATGTTGCAGACCCATTACAACCAGACTGGCAAGTGGCGGTGAAGATGTCACAAAGAGGTTTATTTGATATGAGTTCAACTGATCCACAAATCGAGCCATATATGAGCCAACAATTAGAAGAAAATATAATGCTTCGTGATGAAGAAGTTGGTTGGGTGAGGGAATCCGCAGAAGGGGAAACAGTTGATGTTCAAATATGCTAATATTTAATCAACATCAGTAGTTCAATTAATGCCAAGGTTGTAGTTAATCATCAGTTTCTTAATTTATTTTGTCTTTGTAATTGTATTAGTTCAATTAATGTCATATATAGTTGATGACAAATCATTGTCTATGTTTCTAATGTCAATTAATGTTATATTGCTTTTAGATTATTATGGGACGGAAGAGGAAGCCTGATTATCCCCGGCGTATGATGTCCGATGTGGTACATAAGAGGACATCAGCGGCACCACCATCAGAGGAGGCATCACATCGATCACTATCAGAAGGGCCATTAGTGCCACCACTATCTGACCAGCCATCGCAGCGACCACCATTAGTGGCACCATAGCAGCTATCATCTACTCAGCCTCCACGCCTACCATTGGTGCGTCCACCATTAGAGGAGGCATCACAGCGAGCACCATCAAAGGGGCCATTAGTGCCACCGCATCGACCCCCATTAGTGGCACCACAGCAACTATCATCTACTCAGCCTCTAGGCCTACCATTGGTGCATCCACCATCAGTGGCACCGCAGCAGCTATCATCCCGACTAGAGTCATCGACTTATAAGCCATCCGCAGGTATATAAATTTGCTTTGATTTGTATAAAAATTATTTAAATATATATTTATTTGTTTTCATTACATATAACTTGTTTATTTTCATCGTATTTTTCAAACCATTCGAGTTCTTCACAGCCTTCCTCAGGTATAAGAAATTGATTTGTATTGACATTATTTAAATTCGCATTTGATTATTATCATTGCATATTGTTTATTCTTATTGTATCTCGTAGGTCATGTTAGTTCTTCATCAACCTCGAGTAGGCGTGGTAGAGGATGTGCCAAGGGCATTAGGAAGTGGGGTACTGGTACAAAGTTGGACATACAATTTGATGAAAATTACTGTCCAATAGGGGATAACGTTCTAAGTTAACTACTCAACTTGGCATTATTATGAGAAATGGTAACATTGTTTCTCTTACTTTTCTTGACTGGAACACTATGCCTAATGATATTCTTGATGCTATCTGGAAAGATGTGAAGGTAAAAGTATATTTTTGTTCAAAAATTTAAATTCCAAAATTTTGTTATTATTATTTAAACTTTGAAATTGTGTTTTATAGGACAATTTGAATATATGTCCAGAGGAGTACAAGCCAATCTGCATGAAAAACTGTAACAGCATATGGAAGGATCACAAGAATAAGATTAAGTGTAAGTATTTCAAGCCTAGAAGCGAAGATCCTAATCTGAAGGATGATGTTCCTTTGCACATTATGTGTAACAACCCTCATACTGTTTACTGATTAATGACTGATTGATTACCGATAATCACCGATTACTGTTAAACGGAACTGATAATGACTGATAACTGACTGAGAATTGAACTGATTAAAGTACTGAACTGCCTAATTGAAATTGAAACTGAATTGAATGAATACATCTATTTGAATTGCATTTTATCTATTGACTGTTTGTTTGATCTGTTCGTGCTTTATGTTTAAACTATTAATTGAAGGCCTTATCGGCAGCCGAACCGGAAATGGGTTGGTGTATTATGATCGTCATTATTAATATGATTTTATGGTATAAGTATCTGAAAACTGGTTAGGTGTGATTAAATTAGGTTAAATATTGATCAATTGCAGAGTTGGCCTTATTTACCGAACTACCCCTAGTGGACCACTATCTCACACACACACTTGAGCCTTATACATTGAATCAAACATTTCTTTAGCCTATGTGTGAGACCCTTAGCCGACCATAGAGAGAGAGAGAGACTTGAGGAGTTGAGTTCATCTCAATATTGCTTAGAATTTGAAGAGAATTGAAGTGTAGATTGCTAAATTGAGCTCCTAGTCTTCTAATTCAAGACCTAAGGTAGAGTAATTACCCTCTTGTTTATGAATTGAGCTTGTTCTTGCATGATTCATGTCAAATTGAGGAGCTAAGTCTTGTTTTAGTTCATACATGTTGAAATAGAACATAATTCATGCATGCATGTTTGAATTGTTGGATTTTGAGTTGAATTCATGGCAAATTGTCACATGCATGTCCATAATTTTGTAATGGTCCATGTTTTCATCTTGTTTGTGAATCAATTGGCTTACTAGAGCATGTTTTGAAGCTTGAAAGTTATTTAAAGATCATGCATGTCATGTTTGAAGATTGTTCTTGAAAATGATTTGAAATTGAGTTTGAATTAAACACCCTTGGGCTTTGATTTCTCAAAATTGAGCTTTGAACCATGTTATACTATGTGTTTATAAGGGTTTTCCAGAAAATGGGCCCAAGAGGATCGGTTTTGATGCATTTGAGTGTGAGTGGGAGCTTGGAGGTGCAATCTGGAATTCCCAGATTTTGCACTTACGCTCGAGCAGGGAAAGTGGCACTCGAGGGTGGAATCCGAGCATCCAGCATCTCTCTGCACTGTTTTGCAGTCCGCTCGAGCGGAGGATTGGGCGCTCGAGCGGAGTCAGGTCTCAAGCTCGAGCGGGCATCGAGCGGAGATTTCACCCATCCAGTACTTTTACAGTACGCTCGAGCGGGAAAGTTTACGCTCGAGCGTGTACCTTTGTTGCATTACCGCTCGAGCGGGGAAACCTGAGCTCGAGCGGAACTCTGTTTTTCTGAAAATGCTTTTAAATGTGCATCTTTGCATCCTCATCTCATTCTAGGCATTCTTAGGCCTAGTTGTAGACATCTTGTTGAGGATATAGATGTAGAACACACCGAGGCATTAGGGGTTAAGTTATTATCTTTCCCAGCTGTGTAGCTTAGTGTGTTCAATCTGTTAACTGTGTAGGGTTGGCGACTGGAGAGGCACGCTCTAGCATACTGTAGCCCGAACTCTGTGAGTAACGATTGTGTAAAGATATGTTCACAAATGGTTATCTTCTGAACAACTGAACTGTACTGTTTTCTGAACTGATTACTGTTAACTGAATGAATGTATGTCCTATCTTCTGAACTGTATTGTGGCATCCTTAGCACCTATTGTTTACTGTTACTGTGACAGAAATCTCTTTCGGTTCCCTCGTGGGACCACCACTGTTTACTGACTGATGGCCATCATTACTGTTCGGTCTTTAAGACCTACTGTTTACTGCTATGCTAATGGATGTACCACATATGACTGAATAACTGTTCTGACTGAACGACTGAAGTATTGTTTAATGAATTGATTTCAATACTGTAAGGACATTTCATTCTAAACCCCTTTACGCTTTATGTTATTCACTGGGCTTTAGCTCACTGCTCATATATATATGTAGGTGTGCAGGCACCAGACCTCGGTTTAGGAGCGTCAGGGTACCCAGTTTTGTCAAGCCACCTTTGTGCCTCACTGCGAGGTTCCGAGCCTAACGTGTTAGGGCTTAGGGGTGTTTTACAATTCCCCTTCTGTACTGTTTCACTGTTTTGTTTAGACTGAATGTTTACCGTACTGTTATCTAGGTTGAGTCCCTAGTCTGAATGATTGTAATATTGTGCATACCGTTCTGTACTGTTTACGTATAAATGTATGAAAAATCTTTTCATATAGACTGTCGCAGCTCATTGGGCATTGTTTATTTACTGTTTTGGCTTCCGCCAGGCCCTGTACTCTGTTTTACTGTATTACTGTTCAGCAGGCCTTCGTAATCTCTGATTACTGGCCGGTTACGGTGCTAAACCCATAGGGCCGGGTTTGGGTCGTGACATTATGCCAAGCCAGTGAAGAACTTGTGGAGTATTGGCGTACTGCCGACGCCGAGGTATACAAATAAGTTATATGTATGATATGTAAAACATTACAAATCCATATTTAAACTACATTTGTTGAACTTGTTATAGAAAATTGCAAGTAGGAACGCTAAAAATCGGCGAGCTCACGGCATAGCTCATACCACAGGGCGTACTACTTTCGCTCAGATATGGCATGAGTTTTATATTTTTTTGTTTTATTTTTGTATATAAATAAACATTGTATATTTGCAAATTATTTGGATTCTAATTTTCATATTTCTAAAAAAAGGTAGATGACCAGTAAGGGGGAGTCTACTGATAAGATGAATGTTTGGCTTATGACACGTAGAGCAGATGACCCAGAGGTTATCCAGACCTTGGTAGTTTCCAAACACCTTTGATTGTATTTAAAGTTTATTTTTTATTTTTGGTGTGTCAACCATCTTAATTTGGCATATACTTGTATGTCTTATTCAATGCAGGATGATTTTAATGGGCAACTCTCTATGCTACTTGAGGATTGTCGGACTTTGGAGGCTAGGAATGCCATTTTCCATGAGTTGATAGGTCATGACAATCATGGATATTGTCGCACATACAGAAGAACTGTGCCTCGGAGAGCAGTGTATAAAGATGGTGCTGGGCCATCACAGTCAGCACCCCAGCCATCGACTATTGTTCAGATTACCCAGCAAGTTCGTGCGGAGCTAAGGAATGAGTTGAGGGAGGAGCTGCGAGCAGAGTTCTCTACACATTTACAGCAGTTGAGAGCTGAGATGATGGCCTTTGTGTCACAGGGGGCAAGTGTGGATCTCAACAGACAGGTTCGATATAAATTAAATTGTTTGATAGTTAAATTTTCACACAACATTATGTATAAAATTCGAATATGATTAACACATTATGCATTGACTATCATAGGCTCCTGATACATCGAGTGGCCACCAGGCATTTAGGGAATCTGCAGAAGACGAGAATCCATATACACCACCACCAGAAGATCAGGTATATCTTTACATTCTAAGCTAAAATGTATCTTTGCATTCTAAGCTAAGAGACTTGTGGGAGAAGACGAGACTCTAATCGGGTTCTCGGATTAAGAGTTAGAGACGGATTTCACTCTAGGCAAACTAGTTCTTTAAGAAACTTGAATTTGAGGTGTTAAGGCCCCAAAATCACCAAAAGGGATCGGTTTAGCACGAAACTTGGCACACACGACCGCCTAGGCATGAGAGACTTGTGGGAGAAGACGGGACTCCAATTGGGTTCCCGATTTGGGAGTTAGAGTCGGATATCACTCTAGGCAAACTAGTTCCTTAAGAAACTTGAATTCGAGGTGTTGACGCCTCAAAATCACGAAACGGGGTCGGATTGGCATGAAACTTGGCACACACGACTGCCTACGCACGAGAGACTTGTGGGAGAAGACGGGACTCCAATCGGGTTCCTGGTTTGGGAGTTAGAGTCGGATATCACTCTAGGCAAACTAGTTCCTTAAGAAACTAGAATTTGAGGTGTTGACGCCCCCAAAATCACCAAACGGGGTCGGATTAGCACGACACTTGGCACACATGACTGCCTAGGCATGAGAGACTTGTGGGAGAAGACGGGACTCCAA